GGTTTGAATATTTTGCTTGGGAGAAAGGAGGTCAGGATAGTTCCTCCTTAAAAGCTTTCAGAGTACAGTATATCTTTAATGATGCAAGCAGTTGTTTTATTTTCACAAGATTTTTGTCTATAGATGAGGCACAGTAAGAAAGCTGCTTTGAAGTAACACTGCATTTCTTTGGTTTGAGCTTAAACATGAGGTTATTAAGATAATTTGGCATTTCCCACTGGTCTTGCTTGTCGGAAGCCAGCTAGGATGGTCTCAAATAGCCTTCATGTGATTCTGGGACACTGTAAGTATATTAAATATATGCCCATTGCCAGGCACCCAAATTTTGATCATGCAACTAAGGGGAATGCTGCAATGGTTATGAGAGGATGGGTTGTAAGTCAATTTTTTCAGTGCTTTTATAACTTCGAATGGTTACTGAACAAACAGTTGCAAGTTGAGGCACTACCAGTACTTCTACTTGAACAAGATCAACTCTTGGTTCATCCTGCACATACACAAAAGGTCCTGACCATCATGTTGTTTAACTTTTACCAAAATCCATTATTGTTGAGATGACAACATAATTACAGACCAAATGCAATGTAAGAGTATGTTACCAATGTTTAATTAATTAAAGGACTGAATAAGGAACACAGTAAAATGTCAGCCCTGGTTCAAACGCCTTGCTGGAAACCCTGATGCTTAGCCTTTAAAATATGAAGGCAGATTATTGGTACAGTAGTACCTTGGTACTCAGCTGGTACTCAAAGATTTTGACACAAAAATTATGTCTGGTACTCATCATTTGGTACTCAATGCACAAGTTAGATCTTGTTGGTGTCAACTGCCTTGTGACTCACTACATTATTCCTTATGGGAAAAATTTGTTTGGTACTCATCATTTTTGGCACCCCCTGGAACTAATTAATGATGAGTACCAAGGTACCAATGCACATAATTTCCATTTATCAAGAGCTATACTTCCATGATTTCATATAGTTAATTCAAACAGGTCTCCTAGCTAATCTTTGGAAAGTTCTCACTATATCCTAATTGCCAGCTTAGGTAGTTATTGTTTGAAAACTGGCCAGGATACATAAATGTCTTGCAATTGGCATCAAGATTCTGAAATACATATGCTACTTTTCATATATAAGGTTTTCATACTGAAGAGAACAGTGGTGACCAAAACAGTTTTCCTTTGGCCAGTCCCCAGATATTATCATTTCCTGACCCAGAGCAGTGGTTATTTAGAGAGACTCTCCCAAATACTGAGACTCTCCCAAATATTCTAAAATCCTAGAAATCCAGTATTTTAAAATCTAGGAGGGAATTGGCACAGGTAAGATCATCTTTTGCAATCTTTTCACAAGCAAAATCAAGGGACTGAAAAAGTAACTTATGGCCATTTTTCACACTTACGCCCACTGCAGCATCCCCAGGGGTCACGTGATCAAAATTTGGACGCTTGGCAACTGACTCATATATATGACATGTGCAGTGTCCAGAGGTCATGTGATCATCTTTTATGACCTTCGGACAAGCAAAGTCAGTGGGCAAGCCGTTTTCTCTGAACCACGATATTACTAATTTAACAACTGAAGTGATTCACTTATCATCGGTTATCAAGAAAGTTCGAAAAATGGAGCAAAACTCACTTATAGCAAATATCTCGCTCAGCATCAGAAATTTGGGGCTCAACTGTGGTTGTAAGTCATGGACTATCTGTAGTAAGGGTAGATCAATGGCTGCACATCCTGTTCTCTGAGATTGCTTGCCAATTTCATTCTCCTCTTACTCTTATTTTAAACCTTCTGCATTCGTGCTACAATACTAAATTGCCACTGAGAAATGCTGCTGCTTTGCCTTATAAACCTTTTCAAGTCATAATGAGAATGTTTCACCTCCCAAGGTGATTTTGGGGAGGCATGCTATACATGAGCAATTACTATTGTCTTTATTGCTTTTAAGCAACAGTGATTCATGCTATGCAGCAGAATTATTGCAAGTCCCAAATACTAGGGTGCCACCTTATGCCAATCTAAGGATTTTATTCTAGTCCACTATTGCAAACACTGTCCAACATACCTGATGGCAACAGCAGATTGTTATTTTCCAGATGTTGTAAATTTATCTAACCTTTGTAGATTTTGATTTATTATTTTAATCGAACTGGGTTGCAATCTAAAATATTGAGTATATATTTCAAATCAGCAGCAACCAAAAACAATCATGTTTCTTCAAACGATGTCTGCCTTAGGGAGAAATCCTTGGCCAATACTTTACGAATATTTCATTGCTTTGGATATTTCCTGAAACTGGGATTCAGAACTCATACACACCAAGAGATCCCTATACAGTTTAAATGGAAAATTGCTGATAAGCATAGCATCCAAGCAGGTAAATGCTTTCTACTGAAATGAATGGGAATGTATTTCTGAGGGTACTAGCTGCTAAATCTGCTGCAATTAAAACTACAAAATATAAGGAAAAACTTCCAGGGAAGAAAGAGTGGTCTGAAGAGAGCTCTATGAAAAGCAGAGCTGACGACTGTGGTGGAATGAGTAGACTGCTCTTTAATATTTCCTCTTTGGACAGGGAATGGGCTTGAGATCACCCACCAGTGTTCCAGACAGTTGCTCCTTGTAATGAGACTGCCAACAGGTTTAATGCATTGAGAGATCTGAGAATAGCCATCTTGCTCAAACTACAATCTGTGCCTTTGAAATGACACTAGATTCACATTTTCTAATCAATTCTGGAAATTGCTTGTTGATTGTTTTTTCAGCTGGTAGGTGGGAAGTATCATCTCGTTTGTTCATCTTGTTTGTTGATACCTCCCGCCTACCAGCCATTTGGAAACCCGCCCTTATTGACAAACGACTCCCTAACACAAAAAATGACACCAGACCCACACTCACAAAAACCACACAGGATGTCACCACCACACATCCACGCAAAAAGCAAACCCAAAGCCACACTGATGATGAGGCACGACCACAAACCAGAAGCCAGACCACAGCTGCATCATTAGCCACTTTAAACCCCTCCAATCCATACATGAAGCAAACTGACACCCACCATGAAGATGAGGCACGACCACGAACGCGAAGCCAAAAAATAGCAATGCAGTTCACCATTTTAAACCCCCCTGCAACTCAGACTAACCTGAGCACAACAAAGCCCCCACCAAAACAGAACAATCCCCCAGCCAATCAGAGCACAGCCAACCCCCCAGCCAATCAGAGCACAGCCAAGCTCCTAACCAATCAGAACACACCTCCATCCAATCAGAACACAGCCAAGCTCCCACCCAATCAGTTCATACCCCCACTGGCATCTCCTCCAAAACCCCTTTATTCTTCTTTCCTCCCATAATATTAACTCTCATCCCCTTCCCCTTTTCATTGTCCACCCTGGGCACATCCGGTTATCCTCTGTCGGTATTGTATATATAATGACATCTTAATAATAAAAAAGGAATATACAAATATCAAACTAAGAGATTGGCCTGGATATATTGGATGTACAAATGAAGCTTGTTAAAGTTCTTTAAAGAGTTTTGTGAGAAGAGACCGAGAAAACAATTAAAAGTTCTAGGACATTATTTGAAGGAACTAATCAAGATAGAAGTAAAAGGAAGAAATATATTTGATCAATTTAATATAGGTATGTTGTTATCTCTGAAAAGGGACTTTTCTGAACAAGACTGAATGACAAGATTTTAAGGATTTGTTTACAGATAAGAGATGAGATATGGGAAGAAGAGATCATTTGCTGTATTTTAAGAGATGATAAGTTATTAAAATTGTTATGAATAGTGAAGTAATTTCTTTATACGTTTATTTTTTTCACAATAGTCTTATTTTTTATTTTTTATTTTAGATTTTTTCTTTTCTGCATAATATATTTTATTTATTTTTAACTTGTATTAATTTTTATCATTGTAATTGTAATTTTTAATAAAATTACTATTAAACTACAAATATAAAGATAGCAATAATTACAGGATAAAATTTTTGACGTGGGACTTTACTAAAGCTGAAAATCTTCATAACTTTAAATTGTTAAGCCCTAGCACACACTTGTCAACGAGCACAGCAAAAGCACTCTCCTTGTCTCCTTGGACTCTAGATTGTGTCACAGTAAAATACAATCAAGAAACCTTTGATCAATAGAATGGGGTGGTGACAGGTATTCCTCATTCACTGTTGTTGGTGATTATTGACAAACTGGTAATGATCATACTGCAGCATGCCATTCAGACTAATGACATTAGCATTCTGTAAAGGTCAAAAGAATGGCTAAAAAAAAAGAGACTGAGTTGTGTATGGGTTAGTTGTCAGAAACCCTAAAATTTAGTCATATTTAGAGTACAGAAAAATTGGAGCTTCTATTTTACAAAGGAGTATGATTTTACATTAGGGTAGAAATCTACCTTTAAGGTTCCTAAAATCTGTGTCTCTATAAATCAATGCACAAGGTAGCTTCTGAACTTCCATGCTCATAGACAATAGACATGAAATCTTTGTGCTATTGTATGTGTAAAGAGATTTATTTAGCCAGTTAAATAAATCAGTGTTCTAATTTTGAAAGCAAATCAACTGCCACTGAAATGGTTTAGATTAGGGGGTAGGCTGCCTCTTTATGAAACTACTACCACAAATAGCAAATCATCCACATCTTGTTTTGAGACACAATAGGTCCTAAGATATTCTTGTTCTGGCTATCAAATACAAATAATACAGTGATACAACTCTTCCCAGAGCACTAGTTTCTAATGATCTGCCAAAAACCTGGTGTTAATACTAGAACTGCCTAATCAACTGAATCTTTGACACCTGCCACACTAGAAACATATTTCATTTTCCAGTAAGATAAAACTTGCAAGGTAACTTTTTTGTAAAATTGGATCTTTTAATATGTAACTAATAGCTTCATTTTTATATAATGATTATATGAGGTGGATTAAACAAAGAAAACAGTAAGGAAATAAGTAGCATAATTATTGTACTTACTTTGAGAGACTCTTACTAGCTCAGTGACACTGAAAACACCTGATGTGACAAAACTGTCTTGGAAGCCCAAATGTCCTAAAAAACACAAGAAAGTTACAGATGTTGTTATCCTTAAGCACTTAATGATAGTATTGTCAAATAAGTCAGTGTCAGTTTTAATGTGAAAGAAACTGAATATTTAATTTTTTCACTTATCATTAATTGCTATTTGGCTAGACTGATATATGGTGAGAATTTAGAAAATTTAACCCCATAGCCATGAGAATCGTACTTATTAAAACACAACCCTGGAAACCTGAAAGAAAAGAAAGTCATTTTAATAAATATTTATTTACCTGACCATAATTAACTACTAAAATTAAATCATCATATCTAGAAATGGGATAACTCATTTTAAATATTATTTTTCATAGAAATATTTAGTCATAAATATCCGTTCAGATGTTCAAGGAAGGAGGCAAGGATGTATTCTTCATTTTCTGAAGTTGCATTAAGGAAATCTTAAAAGAACAGTTGTTTAAAAAGGTTTGAAAGTATTTTCAAAAGAAAAGGAAAAAAAAGAAAAGAAAAAAAAGGCAACACAATCTTTACATAAGAAAGCTTCAATCCTCCAAAGCTTTTTCAGATATAAAGGTGTTACAGTTGTTTGTTGTTTTTATAAAAGCATTTTACATCAAATGTTATTTTCCTTTATGTAGCCATTTATTTACTTTATTTATTTTTCAAGTTTATATAGCTGCCCATCTTACAAACAAGTGTTCTACAAAGTTAAAAAAACAACCATTCATAAATAACAATATTTATGATGATTAAAAACATTTTAAAAATATAAAATGTAGCTAAAAAAATAATCAGCAAAGGGGGCTTAATAATAACCGAGCCATCTTACTAGTTTGCCAGTTCCCTGGGGTTCCTAGGCCCAATGGCACAGCCAGGTCTTGAGAGACTTTTGGAAAGTCAAGAGCGATGGTGGCAGCCTAACCTCAAGGAGAAGACATTCAACAACATGTGCCACAGCCAAATATAACACTCTATATGACAGAACCTGCAGCATGCTCTCTGTACTGGATCTGATAGGGTGGAGAGGTATAATTGGAGAGTGGCAGTCCCTCAAATAACCCATTATTTTGAAGGTCAAAATGTCAAAACCAGCTAGATATCCTAGGTTTAAGTCCTATGAACTATCTCTGTTTATGAGCCACAATTCAGAATCTGAGTCTGACAGTATTGCTCCAGCTGAATCTGTGGACTGGCAGTTTCAGAAATCATTAATCCAGGATTCATTTGAGACTAAGCAGCCCCAGGCATGTCCTAATAAACTGGAGCAGTTAGATATGAGGCACAATTCTTAGCCACCACCTCCACCGAGCCCCCATTACAAGACGCATGTAGCAGGAAGCAGAGCAATGTTCCTCAATGAGGCTCTTCACTAGACATATGGTGAGAAATGAGTAATCACAGTCAAGTACCTGCAGACAGATTTATGTAGCTGCTTTGCCTTTAGTCTTTGTAGGAAAAAAAACTGTTTGGATTCTGAGTTTGTGATGCTTGTTCTTCTGCTTACTTTAATCTGAACTATTGGACTGATCACTATGTGACTTAGCACTTTAACTCCTGGAACAAATTTGGACCACTCTACTACTAATTAAATTCAAGCTGACTTAGGGTTTCCTGCATGAGCAGGGGGTTGGACTCGATGACCTCCAAGGTTCCTCCCAACTTTCTTCTTCTTCTTCTTCTTCTTCTTCTTCTTCTTCTTCTTCTTCTTCTTCTTCTTCTTCTTCTTCTTCTTCTTCTTCTTCTTCTTCTTCTTCTTCTTCTTCTTCTTCTTCTTCTTCTTCTTCTCTTCTTCTTCTTCCTCTTCTTCTTCTTCTTCTTCTTCCTTCTTCTTCTTCTTCTTCTTCTTCTTCTTCTTCAAGCAAGCTCTCTTTGCACAGATCTTGATTTGCAATCTTGTCTACTGTTATCTGCTTAACGTCTTAGCAATTGTATCTTCATGTGTGGGTCTGCAAACCTCAGACAGAGCAATCTCTATCTTAGGCTAAGACAGCTTGACCACATATTACTAATATAAATCATGAATATTTTCTTGTGACAGAAGATAATTTGAGGTAACATGTAAAATTTGTCCAAATGTACAGATTAAGCAAAATAACCCCCACCAAAATTACAACTCAGCAATTCATCTATTGTGTTATTTACTTATTATGAAATTTATGCCATGCTGTCTCTTTTTAATGGAGAAACGAAAGTATAAACATCAAAATAATTCAGAGGAAAAATAAAACAGAAGTACACTTTTTTTGACTGCATATACACACACAAAGACCTACCCACATATTAATTATCATGCATCCTGGGTGATTATGGGAACATATAAATAATCAAGTATTTTCTAGTAATATCTATGAACTAGAAACCTATGACCTTATTTACAGGGACTCTTTGAAAGAATCACTGAAATAACAGCAATATGCCAGATCAAGGTGAAAAAGGGAAAAAAACACTCACAAAGTCAGGCACAATACAATGTGTAATGGCTATAATGACGATAAGCGATGCTATGAAGGTTGTGATTTGGTTGTAAAATTATTTTTCAGCACTGTAAAAACTGTAAATGGTTACTGAATGAGTGGTTGATAAGTGAGGACTATTTGTACTGTGAAATTACAATAGTTGGAAGTGAGAGTGTATGACTTAAGAAATGGGGTTTTAAGCCTGTCCACATGAGAGTAGAAATTGCTTCCTGCTTCCAGTTTAATAGGCTGCAATAATGAATACTTTGTTAACACTTTCTAGCAATTTGTGACAATTGCTCAAAACTACAAATGACAATTGACAAATCTCTTAAATAAGATATTTTCTAAGTATGGCAACTCTTCACTAAAGTAGTAGTAGTTCTATACATATTTAAAATTATCTATCCAAGAATAAGTTCCACTCTGTGTATGTTCATTGACATATTCCCCTTTGTGTAACTCATTCCTACTGAGTTGCATTGCATTCAAACTTAATGTTGCTAGCTAGAATACATGTCTATATATAAAACTGAAAAATTTGGAATACCATTACTGTAATGGGATATGAGAATGATTATGCAACAGTTAGATAAGAGACAGCTAAGCCCACAGAACAAATGAAGCATGGCAAACATCATAGCTTGCCCTTCATAGTTTCTGGACTGTAAAGGTTAGATGAGGGAGATGTAGTTTTAGACTAGTATAGATGATGTTAATATAACCTTACAATAAAGATAGAGATGGTACTGGACTTGTCTGGACTAACTTGCAAGGCTAACAATTATATTTCTTTCTTGTATACTACATAAGATAAGAGTAAATCATTATCTGGCTTGGAAATTATGACTGTGATCTCGATTTCATGATATTCAAATGTCAGATTAAGATTCATAAATGGGTCATGAAAGTTTTGTTTACATATATTACATATATTATCAATATATTACGGTATCTATAGATGGCTTGGTAACAGTTAATTTGGACAAAAATATCATAATTTGTTCTTTGTGTAGTATGAAGATATACTTTCAGATATTATTACATCTATCCAAAAGAACAAATATAAAACACTTTTCAAAGGTATTTTTATCCCATCTTTATTGTTTTATAAATAACTCAAGATGGCAAACATACCTACTACAACTTCTTCCTTCTGTTTCCCCCACAAAGTAACTCTCTTTTATATTTTATTTACTCAATTTATGCCTTTCTACTCTGCCAAGCACTGATCTGTTTACCTAATATTGCAATATATTTAATGTGAGGAGAATGTATTAACTTGATCATGATCTTAATTATTATTTGTTTAACAGTGTAAACAGATAGTTTAGATCAAGGTAATTTGCTTCTCTTTTTTAAAAAAATACACCAATAAAATTCTTCTGTACTTGATGACAGAATGGCTGTTTAGTTTAATAACCCCTTTTTTTTACTGAAATACAGTAGTTATTTCTCATTCTTTCCCCTTTTTTATTCTGTCAAACTATTATCAACCTTTCATTTCTCTTAGAAGCTGGCAGAAGCTGGCTTTTTCCTGCTTTCAATCAACTTTCAATTGCTGTTGTTTGAAACACAGATCCAAAATTCTTTTAGGACAGCACTAAAAAACATATCTAAAAAACCAAATATCTTGTTTTTTTCCCCCAAAAGAACACTTAAAACTGTGTTTTGGAAAGCACTGGATATTATGCGAGTAAATGCCTCCGCGAAAGTCATGTGTTCTATCTACCTCAGCAACTTTAAAATGTGTGGACTTCAACTCCAAGAATTCTTCAGTCAACATGAACTGAAGTTGCTGTGGTTGACAAGCACTAGTCTAATCTCTCCAAATTAGCATGAAAGATGATGTGATGAAAAGGACGGAGATGTACCTGTAGCAGACTGGACTGTTAATAAAGCTAGGCATCTGTTGAGTGTAGAAGAATTATTGTCACTTCAGGACAGAACTGAAATAGAGACAGTCATCCTAAACTGTAATACAGGTAGTTCTCGACTTACAACAGTTCATTTAGTGACTGTTCAAAGTTACAAAGGCACAGAAAAAAGTGACTTATGACCATTTTTCACACTTACGACCATTGCAACATCCCCAGGGTCACATGATCAAAATTAGGATGCTTAGCAACGGGTTCATATTTATGACAGTTGCTATGTCCCAGGGTCATGTGATCACCTTTTGCAACATTCTGACAAGCAAAGTCAATAGGAAAGCCAGAGTCACTTAATAACCAGGTTACCAACTTAACTACAATGATTCACTTAACAATGGTGGCAAGAAAAGTTGTAAAATAGAGCAAAACTCTTTTAACAAATATCTCGCTTAGCAACATAAATTTTGGGCTCAATTGTGGTTGTAAGTCAAGGGCTACCTGTACTATAAAACTGTAACAGATAATTAGGACAGCCTTTCCTTTTAAATTTGTCTCTATACTATACGCCAAAAAGTCTTAAAGAGAAGAGCCTGCAAAATATATCAAAGTTGTCATCATAAGCTACAGTCCTACAAGGCTGGTGTGCATTTAAGTCCATGCAACTTAAAGTTGCTAGCTTCCCATT